TTCAATATAAGTAAAATAAATACTTTTGAATGTTCTTCCTTATTTGTATTAAGCACCCATGATAAATAAATACCATTCCTCCCATCGTTAGAGCAATTTGAATAATTTAATGGAACAATCAAATTTTTAAAGTAAACTTAATAGGAAAATTATTAAGGATTGATATTTGAATATAACGAAAATTTTTATGAGAGGAAAAAATGAAGCGGCTAAGTCTGGTAAGATAAGGTTGATCATTCTGTTGGGATTTGCGTTTAAAGAGGCTTCGAGAGTTGAGTTCATGTCGGTGGTGGTCGTTGGGGTCACTTATGATAACAATTGTTGATCTCTTCTAATCTGGTACCTCTCGATGATTGAATGAAGCTGTTGTTCATCAATAGAAAATTCATTAGGCGATGATTCTGTTGTCTTTAGTTGATCGAAGGAAAATATCTTCCAAATCTAATATATGATGGTTTCGCGTCCGGTAGAAGATTATATAGTCGCCCGTTTATGCCTATTAGGATTGAAGTAGTCGACCAAATACTTGGTTATTAATAGCATTAGTAGGATGACAGATGATCCAAAACTTTCCCATCCTAAATGTAGAAAGGCTTATAATAGTTTCATTAGCACCAGAGGTAATGGAAACAGTGATTAATTCTAAAGTCAAGTCTAATATGAGCATTTCTAAACCAATCTGTTTCTAAAAGTAAAATTTCATTCCGAGAATAGATAACCCGTTTACGTACACCCGAAGCTATCATAATTATTCCAGTGAGAGGGATGTCATCAATCCAAATTCCAATGTCTTTATAAAAGTTGAAATAAATTTTTTAATCTTAAAAAGAAACAAAATAAATGAATCGAAAGAAAGTCAATGTACTGTGTACACCCCTATTTCGAAAGGTTGAATTTTGACGTCGGTTAATTCTTCGAGGGAGATAAAAGCCTTGACTTGTAAGTTACTTTAGTCGGATCGGTTTCATCCATCTTAACGATTTCGGGTAAATTAATTATAAATAACCTATTCATTCTTAAAAATTGAAAAAATTGAACATTTTGAAAAACTTAGGTTTGTGATCCAATATTTTGAGCTAACAATGTCGGTGTATTAATGATAAGCTCTGTCCTCGTCATTATATGTAGCAGTAGCTTCCATTGCTCAGTTAAAGCGAAGCATCCAATAATGTGAAAATTGTCCACGCAAGGAATAATATATCTAAGATGTTCAGCTCCAAGTTTAATAACGGCTTCACCCTACATCATAAATTGTTTTTATTCAGGGTCACAATTTTATTAATATACAGCGAAAAATACCTATTTTTATCTATTTCATGCTGAGATAAAATTGCTTATTTAATTTCTGTTTGAATAAAGAAAAAATTCCAACAAAGAATTAGCGGATTTTGTTCAGTCAATTACAGAGATGAAACCTATCGGAAAGTTTTGCAATGTAAGTTTGCATGGTAAACATTTTAAATTTATTAAAAAAAAAAAATTATTTTGAATCGAGAAAGTGAACTAACTAAACTAACTGTAAATAGAAATAGAAAAGGTGGGGTAAAACTCAATTACCAAAATCAGAATATGATCTTTTTTAATACTCCAAAAAACTACCAGCAAATATTTTGCTGGAATTCAGAGGCTGTTCTACTAATTGAGCATCAAAATCTATGTCGCTGAGAATTATTTCAATATAGTCGAGAATGCGACCAACGTTGTTGTCGAGCAGTATTGCCAAAGGACTATTTATTTCAATTTGTAATTAGATACACTATATGTGGTAATATCTGTGAGTATCATTCCGAGAAACGGTCACAATTTATTTCTGTATATACTAAAATACATTTTATATGAAAAGGTTTTTGATAAGAATGGTAATTCTTTTTTTTTTTTTCCTTCCTCGAACAATCAACCACCGAAAGCAACCCGAAACTTACTCCAAGATAAATATGAAAATGAAGTTAAAGAACAAAGACTGGCATGGTATTTGTTATGGGCGCTTGATACAAATAAGAATAACATGGCAAATGCATATATTCAATATATTTATCGTATTATTTTATAATTATTTTCAATTGATATTTATTTTACAAGGAAATCAGTAGAATGTGAGCGTGCTTATTTTGAAACAGTTAAGCGTCGATAGTCACGTCAGGTCATAAAATTATGTACCTAGTATGATTGGCGCGTCTTTTAAGATGATGTTAGAATATTGGTTAGTGAAACAATTCGTATACAAATTATAATATTTTCCATTACCACTTTAATGAAATTGACATTAAAATTTTCATACTTTAGGTCATCTGCTAGTAAAGGTGAATTTGAAATAGGATATGAGAGATACGTTCAAACATGTGAATATGCCTTTGATGGTTGACTTCCAATTATGAAAACGAGTATAGTGATTATTCCTGAATTAGTACTTCAAGAAACTATGAATTCATGATTCTTTACTTTGAACGCTCTTTTAATTATTTTTATTCTTGGAAAAGGGTCATCCGTTGCGGGTTTAAGGTAGCCAATCCGAAATGGAAGAATGCCGATATACAAGAAAATAAATTCATTAAAATCTTTGGATTCAACAGAGACTAACTAAATTCAGGCAATCACCTAAGGAATTAATGGTTAATACTCGGATGAAGATCTTTTTTTTTTTTTTTTTTTTTTTTTTTTTGGAAAATATCAATTATGAAGTTCCATTCCATCTTTGCTAAATTACTCAACGGCCTAGAAAGTTGTTTATATTATCACATGTAAGTAGCTTTTATTTGTTGATGTTTCGATAGATACTGTCTTTTGATTTAACGGAAAAAGTTATATAGCCAACGAAAATGAAAATCAACAAACTTTGATGACGTTTTCTCTGTGAAATGAAAAGGAATATTAATTTGAAGTAGACCATTTAAAAATGAGTGGGATCGCACAATATAAAATATGTAATGTAATTTCTTTATTGGTAAATAAATTAAACTTTAATATAATTTTTATTTTATTTTATGTATTGTAAATTTAACTAAAAGTTTATATTATAAACAAATAGTATAATCATAAACTTGAAAACTATCAAAATTTAAACATTAAGAATATTACAACTATAAAGGAGAGGAATTATTTAGGGAGCAAGATCCGGAGGAAAATATTGATTTTTTTATCAAAAATCACCGGTAAATAAACGCGTATTGTCTATTTATTTATTAAATTTAACTCTGAAATCACAAGAGTTTTTTTGAAGAAACAAAAAAAAAAAAAGAATATTTGGAGATGTAAAACAGTCTGTGAAAAAAGAGAAATGTCACTACAATGTTAGACAAGCATTCATATTAATAATATAATAATTTCAAGCAATAAGTTAAAACCCACCATATCAATGTGCAAGTTGCTCTTCATTCTCTTGGAACCCTCGGTCCGATTTGGTTTAACTTCGGACTGTTTACTTTTCAGATCGGTTCCTTGTTCTTGAGCCTCTTTTTGTCCTTCTCCTCCTCGTTTTCTTTACGCGTATTTACGGGTGGAGGCACACCCGCAAATCAAAATCCATGTTGAGTCTTGGCGACTCAACCTCTTCTGAACTGCCATAATACTTCGTATTAGGCGCTTTTGATTAATTTGCGCCTCAATACTGCCTGTATTGGGCGCTTTTACTTTTAAAATTTGCAAAGCTTTGCAATCTGCCGCAGTCATGTTCTTGACGTAGAACATAACCTTATAAGTAATTCTTTTTAAAAAAAAAAAAAAAAAATAATAAAATAAAAATAAATTTGGTTAGAAATAAATATTTTTCGCAAATAAGTGAAGTAGTTTTTGATTTTTACGAGTATGTCATAAGTAGAATAGTACTTCACTTAAAAGTGAACAATGGACGCAGAGAATTTTACAAGCAAGTCAAGAGAATAATCCACCAAGAAACAAGTACTCTTCTAA